GGGGGGTAACGGGCCGCCCCCGGCCCCCCATCCACACCTCCCACCCCGACGTCCGTACTCACTCAGCACCTCCAGCTCGTAGTGCAGGCGGTCCTGCCCCGCCGCGTTGGGCGCCTCGCAGGGGTACCTGCCCGCGTCCTCCTCCCGCACCGCCGGCAGCTGCAGCCCCCGGCCCCCTGCGGCACAGGGAGGGTTGGGGCAGGGGACAGGGAGGGCTCCGCAGGGGGTCGCAGGGCCCCCTCCAACCTCACTCTGCACACACCCCTGTGCAGCCCCGGTGACCCTGCAGGTTCCACGGATGCTGTGCGTGCTGGCAGGAGCAAGGGGACAGAATCCAACCTCCTCCATGCTATGGCTGCTCTCAACCCACAAAGCTGCTGCAGGAAATCCCCCCAAACCTCACAGTGAGGGGTCCATGCCCATTACCTAGCAGCATCAGCACCCCTGGGCCAGGGGAGAGGGGCTCCCCATCCTTGTACCAGGTGAGCTGCTGGGGTGGGATGGCATTGGTGTCACAGTAGAGCATGGTTGGCTGGTCGAGGATAGCCTGCCGGTGCTCTGTCACCTCTCCATCCTGGTCTTCCTCCTGGTAGAACATCTCAAGGGCTTCATTGGGGCTCATCTGCTGCTGGAAGAGGGGTGGCACTGTGGGGACAGGCTGTGGTCAGCTGTGGGGAATGGGCACTCGTACCCTCAGGTGCATCCAGAGCATCTGCTCAGGCCTGATTAGGGCCAAGGAAATGGTTGTTTTCCAGCAGATGCAAACTCTCTTCCTGCTCACTCTGCTCTGCTCTCACAAGGGTCCCCATAAAGGACCCCTCCTCTTGCTGAGACACTCACTCCCCCAGGCGCTGGCTGGCTGCCCAGGGCTCACCTTGGACATGCACAATGAAGTCCCTGTCATCTTCACCCACGGCATTAGTGGCTACGCAGGTGTAGTGCCCCGAATCAGAAACACTGGCTGGTTTGATTTGAAGGACCTGTCCCTCGCTGAGGATCTGGAGGTGGCCAGTGCTTTCCAGGAGCTGCACGGGGACCCCAATCCCAAGGCAGAGAAGAAACAGAAGGACAGGAGGAGGATTGCACACCCAGGAGTAAGACAGAGGTCAGCCAGCTGTATAAAGGGTATCTTCCACTTCCATCCACGTGGGAGAGTCCCCAAAACCAGCAGCTCCCCCCTAGTCATGGTTAGGACCTCACCTGCTTGTCCTTGTACCACTGGATAGTTGGCTCAGGCACAGCCCAGGTCTCACACTCCAGCGTCACCGTGCTGTTGACCCTGGTTTTCACCTCTTTCATGGCAAATTCCCCCAAAGAGTCATCTCTGGCAATCCAAGGAGGAACTGGTGTGGAAGAGATGACACATCTGGGATGAGAGAAGAGTCCCTAACACACTTGTTCTGCCTGGTTAGCAACAGGCCGCATCTCAGGGCGCTGCTGACACCCTCAGATGGACCCCTTTGCCTTCCACAGGGTAGACCAGAGGCTTTTTGGGAACACTTGCCAATATGCATGTGTCTGAGCATGAGCTGCACGAGGTGCAGCTCCCCTGGATGAAGACATGGGAAGGGAAGAAAGGGGCACCGGCCCGATTACAGTGGTGGGGTCACTGCAGGAATCACGAAGGACACAGAGCATTCCCTCACCCAGGACCTTCAAGTCATAGTTCTTCACAGCCTCCCCGACTTCGTTGGCCACGATGCAGCTGTACGTGCCCGCATCCTCTTCCTGGGCATTCAGGATCTGCAGCCCATGGCCACCTGGGCAAAGGGGGTCTCCTGAGAAGGTCGCCGCCCACAGTCATGGCTGTCTATCCCCATGCAGCACAAGAAGGCATATTAAGGGACCTGCTGATCACTTGCAAGCCTGACTTGAGGGGGTCTAATGCTCTTCTAGAGAGCAATTTCCAGGCTTATGAAAACCAGCACTGTCTCCCTGGTGCTGCCAAGGAGGGTCTAACTGTTATCAGCCAATGCAGCACATGGAAGAGCAGCATCCACCTGTCGGCCTGAGCCCCTCAGGTCCTGCAGGATGATGACTTCTCACCATCCCACTGCCCTGGAAGCACAGTCAGGCCCAGAAAAGGCCCTGCTCCCACTCCCCTGGGCAAGTAGCAAGGTTCTACCACAGTCATGCAGAGCCAGTGGACACCAGCACAGTACCAGGGAGCAGGTGGATGTTTCTAGATGCTTTGAGGGGAACCTCATCCTTGAGCCAGGTGATGTTGGGAGATGGGTATGCCAGAGCCTCGCAGAGCAGGGAGATGGGGTTGTTGATGATCACTGTGACTTCTTCTGCTTCGGCATCGTGGGCATCTCCAGCAAAAGTAGGACCAGCTGCAGAGACATGTTTTCATGGCAGATCAGCGTTAGCACCCACTTAGGCTTCCCAATGCTTCGTTCCCCCCACCACAGAGCATGATGTGAGTTCAGGGAGTTGGACTTGACCACAACGTATGAAGGTGCACAGCACATACAGCACACGCCCAACTTCAGACTCTGCCTTGTGTTGCTGCCCTCCAAAAACACAGGGGACACAGAAGATGTGCTCCCCCTTCCCACCAGCCACCATCAGAGATGGATCCTGCACTAGATGGGCCCCTTACGTTCTTCGAGAGGTCTCAGAAGGGCTTTCTGTCAGCTTCAGGACATCATGCCATGCTGCTGGCTGTAGGACTAAAGGATCCTCACTGCCTACCTGGGGCAGGCAATTAAAAAGCCCTCTAAGTCCATGTCCCCTGCTCACATCTGAGACTCTGTCTCCACCCAAAGGCATCTCATACCCAAAACATCGAGCAGGTAGTGCTTGGTTTGATTTGCCACAGAGCTGGAGGCCATGCAGGAGTAGCGGCCAGCATCAGACAGGGAGGCTCGGGGGATGTGGAGCACAGAGCCATCAGGGGAGATGGAGAAGGTGTCTCCACTGGGCAGAGGGTGGCCATCCTTCATCCAGGTGATCTTCGGTTGTGGGTTGCCTGCGTGGGGTGGAAAGCAGGTTTTGGCCTTCACGCAAAGTTTTTTCATGCGCAAGCACAGCCTGACCGGGGTCACCGGCCCGGAGCTTTTCTGCAAAGCAGGGACATCAGCTCAAATCCAAAGTTATCATGATCTGGATCGGGTTTTTAGAGGCTGCTGGATGAGCCAGCAAGAAGAAAGAAAACTGTCCTGAGTAGGAGGTGATTAATTATTCCCATCGCTAAAGGAGAAACCAGATTAGAGGAATTTTAGCTCCATTTGGGAAAGATTGGAGCTTACGTGGTGGAACAAGCTCCCTGCGTGGGCCCAGCGCTTCCCGGACAGCCCAACTGCAGAGCCAGAGACTATCTCAAAAAAACTCTTCAGCTGATTTCAACTACTTTCATGTCATCAACTGGCACCGTGCATTTGGTCCACGCCCCAAAAGGAGACTCATGTCCCTGAGCCCTGTCTCCCACCTTCTCGTGCCACCTCTGCTCCCCGCATGATGCTCACCCGCAGCCAGGCAGGACCAGGTGGCAGGGTGACCCTCGAGCACTTTGATGGTCTCTTCTTTGCCAGCGTTCTCAATGTGGGGTGGAACTAGGAACACAAGTCACCAGGGACCTCAGCAGCTGGCCAGCTTCGCTGAGCCTCTGAGCTCACATGTGAAAACACAAAGGACTCCAGTGCTGCAGCTCCCACCATGCCCAGTCTTAACTCCCTGTTCCTGCAAGGGTGAAACTCTGAAATCCCACCAGGAATTCTGCAGCAGATGGAGGACCCCTCCTTACCTAGGACGTCCACATAGAAATGTTTCCTAGCCTCCCCAGCCACGTTGCTGGCCAGGCAGGAATAGTGGCCACTGTCCTGGGCTCGTGCACGGGTGAGCCTCAGCAGCCATCCCCCTGGAAGCATGGAGCAGAGAAGTGTTAGGGCCCTGATCCAGGCACCAGCCCATTACAGCAGTGCTCCTACAGGGCTGGAGCTCCACCATGTTTAAACCCATCAGCGTTGGTGCAAAAGGTGTTCCCAAAGGGCTTGTCTCTCACAGCATCCACGCCTTGTCCCTGACCTGAAAGCACGTGCATGTGCTCGCTGGGAGTGACAGGAGAGCTGTTCCAGGACCAGGTGACTGTGGGCACAGGGATACCAGTGGCCTCACAGGTCAGTGTCAGGGATCCTTGCAGAGACACACTGATGTTGGTTGTCAATTCTGATCCTTGAATGAACTCAGGGGGAACTGGGGACACAGAAAAGAATGGGCATCCATTTGCAAAGCAGCCAAGACAGCAAAGGAGCAAGGGAAAAGGGGGAAAACTGGGCAAACCCAGCTTGTTCCCACCCTCCTGCTTTGTACAGTTTGAGGACACAAGCCCAGACAGACCACTGGCATCATCTGAAGTTGTTGACTTTGAAGATGTTATGGGACACGTGACCCACAGCAACTATGTGCCACTTACCTGCACCCCCAAGCCCATGCTTACAGATGCGACACCAAGCTAGCCACATGCTCTGAGTCACCTCAGGACTTTTTCAGCTCACGTGCTTGGTACCTTGACCCACAAGGTTTCCCCAACTCCTTGGGAAGTAGATGACTCTACAAAGTGTGAGATGGTCTGCTCTGATGACCCTGGAAAGAAACTCCTGCCTGATGGAGCCAGTTCTACAGCTGTGCCTGGAGCATACACCACCTGGCCCAAGACCTTCTGCACTCTGGGTTGTCCAAGATCTACTCTGCACCAGGTTGCTCTCCGTGCTTATGCTGCATTAAATGTGTGGTGGGACATCACCGCCCTCCTGAGCCTGTGTGCATCCATACCCTGTAGCCACCAGCCCCGTCCCACACCCTTACCGTGCACTGCAACATCAAACTCCCTCTGCTCCTGCCCCGCTGCATGTGCCACCAGGCAAGCATAGCGTCCTGCGTGGGCCACCTCTGCCTTGGAGATGCGCAGCCGCCTCCCTTGCGCCGTAAGCAGGAGCCCGTCCCCGCTGGCCACGGGCTGCCCATCCTTCACCCATGTCACCGTGGGTGGCGGCGTCCCCACGGCCTCGCACTCCAGAACTGTCTCGCCATCCTTGATGACAGAAACCTTCCTCAGGGCTTTGGTGCTGCCCTGGATCCTTGGCAGCGCTGCAGGCAGAGGGACACAGGGTGGAGGTGATGGTGTAACAACTCCCCTGGATGGTGGCAGCGGGAGGGCAAAGGAAATGCGAGTGGGTGCCACCAGTGAGATTGGGCTGCCAGAGTGAAACACCAGCTGCAACCAGCCAAGAGGAAAGCTGGAGGGGCAAAGCTAGCCCAGCATCCATTCTGAAACACCCAAGGCAGCAGGCAACAACTGTGAGCTTTTGGGTCGTGCTGAGAGAGATCAGGACCTTCAGCCTCCTCCAAAGGTCCTCTGTGTCTCCAGCTCCCCAGCTTACCGTGCACCTCCAGGCGATGTTCCCTCCTGCTGCTGCCAAAAAACTCGCAGGTGTACGTCCCCTCGTCCACCAGCTGTACCCTCTCGATGTACAGCACGCTCCCTCCCGCGGACACCAGTTTTGAGCTCTCGGGCTGAGTGGAGAGGGGCTCACCTGCCCGGGGAAGGGGAAAGCAGCCTCCTCTCAGGTTCCCAGCAGGACCAGTTCCCACCCAGAAGCTGGGTACTACTCAGCATAAAGCACTCCTTGCTCCAGAGAGACCAACATCTGTCTGGTGGGTCAATACATGTGTGGGGAGGGATGAGGCTGAGAAGCAGGACCCTACCGTCCTTCTGCCAGCTCAGGGTGGGGAAGGGGATCCCATGGCACTCGCAGGCCAGCCTGACAGACTGCCCCTCTGGCACGGACATGGCGGCAGGCTCTGCCGAGGAGAAGGACGGGGGCACTGCAGCGGGGAGAGGAGAGGAGCAGCTCGCTGGTGGCACCGGATGAGAGGAGAGGGGCAGCTCCCTGCCGGAGCTTCGTCCTGCTGGCTACACACCACCCGCAGCTCCACTGGGCTCCACACAAAGAACCGGTAAGCCTCCCCTGCACTGGCTCCATGTGGAAATAATAATCTTGACTCTCCAGCTATTAAGTGAGAGATGCTTTTAATTGCACGTGGCCTACAGTAGAGGATGACCAAGCATCCTGCGCCAGCCACACAGGCAGGCCAAGCCCAGGTTGGCCAGACACAGCCTTATTAGGTAGCACTGCTCGCTGGGAAGGTTACCTAACACTTTCCATTATGGGATGCTGTTCTCAGTTGCTCATAAATACAGCTGGCTGGAAAACAGTAACTCCTTCCCATGAGGGATATCAATTTGTAGAAGAAAAACCCCAACACCCAGAAACCCCTGAAAAACAAAAACAGCAGAACCCAAACAATCCACCCGAGCCAGGACGCCAGACGTGCAAACATTTCCCTGGGAAGGGATCGCAGGAACAAGCCCGGATCAGGAGAACTGGATCTTCTCCACTCCCTGGCTACCTGCCTGCAGGACTTCCACCAACTGGCCTAGAGTATCCCTGAGAAAAGCCAGATCCTGGCTCAGCCCCCGGCACTGCGGATGTACTGAACGGGCTGGGAGGCTGCAAGGATGCTCAAATCGAGCGAGAAAAAGCGGCCAGTGCCCGTCCTGGCAGCGGCCTGTGAACCACCGCTGGCATCTGCCCGACTCGGGCAGGAGGAGAGAAGGGGGACAATACCTGAAGTCACCACGGCACTGACCGGGTGCAAAGAAAGGACAGCGAAGCCCTGGCTGTGGCAAGGAAATCCCTTCGCTCTCCTGCCCAAATTTTGGAAAGACATCTCTTCTGCATCGTCACTGAAATCTCCCCCCAAGACTCATGCAAACGTTGGCTTTTTCCCCTGTGATACCCATTCTGCTGGGGATTCCCTACCACCTCCAGCTCTTTTGTTTCGCAGAGCTTTAATATTTTGGGCTTAGTGTTTCCCAAACCAGTCAACTACCCCAGGTACATATTATAGATAAAACCAAACTGCACATAATACAGTAGATATGTGGGTGTGTGTATATGCGTACACACACATGCACAAAATATTTGCCCCCAGTGGCTATTTCAGCCGCAGGGGCCCTTACCCCACACATCGAGGTTGTAGTGTCTCTCCGGGTGGCCGGGCGCCTGGCACGTGTACCTGCCCGCATCCTGCACAGCGGCTCGCTCGATCTGCCGGAGCAAGCAGAGACACTAGGATGCTCTGCAGCAGAGCTGGACCCATGCAGCCCCTCCATGGGGGGTTTTGGGCCAGCAGAAGCTGTAGGGGTGGGATCAGCATGAGAAGCGGGAATGGTGCTGAGCCACGGGCAGCAGGGAGAGACACCCCCTCCCTCTGCACCCACTCTCTCTCAAGGCCAGGGAGGCGGAGATGGGGGGTCTTCACAGCCCTGTTTCCCCTCCCATCCTCTGCAATGCTCTGAAATGTCACCTGGAGCGTGGTCCCCTCCACAGACAGCTGCATGCCCTGCTTTGGTGTGAGCACGTTCCCATCCTTCAGCCAGCGGGACCCCCGAGGGGGGACCCCAGGGGCCAGGCACTCCAGGGTCACCGGCTGGTTGACAGTGACAGAGATGTTCTCTTCCTCACCCAGGGTGGTGGGGGACACTGGAAAACAGATCAACAGGGCAACACCTTCCCTGAGGCACCCCCTTTGGTACCCCTCCCCGGGACTGGTCCCCCATGGTCCTGTGCACTTGCAAGGGGGTGGTGGAGCAGCCCCATAGTCCTGAGCATCACCTCCAACCCCACAGCCATGCTGGTGGGAAAGGGGCTGAGGATGCACAGGAGTACTTACACCGCACCTCGAGGGCGGCCTCACGTCTGTCCTCCCCCACGGCGCTGCTGGCCACACACATGTATGTCCCCGAGTCCTGGAGGCGAGCAGTGGGCAGGGACATCGTGCGCCCACCGGAGAGGATCTGTGCATCCCCAAGACACAGAAAGGGCCCAGTTGAGCACGAAACCAGAGAAACTCATAGACAGTGGGGCTGCAAGCCGGCACACAGGAACAGGGATGAGTGGGGATTAGCCTGCCTTGACCCCATCCTTGTCACATCCCAGGGAGCCTCTGCCCATCCATGCCCCCCGTGGCAGAAAAGCCCAGCGCAGGGCTGAGCAGGTCCATGCTCCCGTAGACGAAACATGGGGCAGGTCTGGGCACCATTGCACCTGCTCAGCTCCAGCAATTGCTTTTTTTAGGTGCCAGAACGTGGAAAAGGAGCATCTTACTGGACAGATGTCCCCAGTGAGCCCCCCCTCCATCAGGAGCTGTCTTACCTGTGGGCCACCAGCCACCACGCTGGGCACTGGATTGCCATCCTTCAGCCACAGCAGCACCGGAGCTGGGGTCCCCGTGGCCTCGCACTCCAGCGTCACTGGCTCACCCACCATCACCGTGAGGGGTCTGGGGGCAGCTGTGATCCGTGGGGGCACTGGGAGGAGCAGAGAAACGTCACCAGGAGCAGCAGCGTGCAAAAGGTACAGGGTGGGTAGGAGAAAGTGTGGACCAGGCAATACCCGTCCGTGGGGCCATGGTTTTCTAGGACATTGTTTGGGATGAACACATGGGATTGCATGGCTGAAATTGCAAACAGGGCAGAGGACAGGGGCTCTGCTAAAGTCATCACCCAGAGACGTGTCCCAAGGGTTGGGACAGCCCTGCTGGTCCCATGCACACATGAGAGGCGCTGGAGGGGGAAAGCACCCAGCTGTCAGGCAGGCATAGTCCTTCCCCTGCTCACTGAGGACTCACCAGTCACCTGCAGGCTGTACCAGAGCTCAGCGACACCGGCCCCGTTGGAGGCCACACAGCGGTAGCTGACAGCGGTAGCTGCCAGCATCGGAGAGTTGGGCACGCTGGATCTCCAGGTGCTTCCCATCCCTGGACAGGGTCCAGCCTGGTGCATCCAAGAGCTGCTGGTGCCCCTTGTACCAGGCAATGTCTGGAGAAAAGCAGGGAGCCAAGCTGTAAGGGGTGATGCTGCTGCCCTTCTCGTCAAGGAGACCCAGGGAAAGCCCCAAGGACATATAAGCAAGAGTTGAGGGAGAGGATCGACTCACTGGGAGTGGGCAGCCCCGAGGCCAGGCACTCCAGGGACACTGTGCTGTTCTCCAGGATGGCCAGGTCCACTGCACTGGGTTCAATGTTCGGAGGCACTGCAACCCAGCACGCACAGTCATGATCTCTGCACGGCCCAAGCCCGCTGCAGCCACACAGGGCAGTGCCGTGGGGCACGGCTGGGCTCACTGGGGGCTCTTGGCATGCACTGAGTCCTGGGAGAGCAGCGGCTGGGGGCCAGGGCTCGCTCCCCACTCTGCGAGGGGACCACATCACTACATGGTGCCACTGCTGCTCCCCGAGTCAGCTAGCAGATTTGTTTCCCACCCCAACAAGATAATCATTCTTCCCATGCAGGGATCTCCGCTCCCTGCCTGGTTTCTCACCAGGCACCTTCAGGGTCACATCCCGTGATGCTGACTGAGGGGTGCTCTGGCTGGAGGGGAAACAGGGCTGGGGTAGACCCTTGACCAGGAAGAACACGTCAAGGATGGATGCCATGATTTACTGCCATGGTCATCAGCTCCCAGCCTCAATGGCAAAGGGCAAGATCCCAACGGATCAAGCTCGTGACCCTACACCTCCCAAAAAGCAGGGCCAAGAGCACACCACCCCCCCCCTTTGGCCAGCCACGTTCTCACTGACACATGGGACAGATAGCAGGTCTCACCACAGATGCTGTGCTCACCTTGCACGGAAACCTGCACCTCTGCCTGGGCCACCCCTGCCCAGTTGCTGCCCTGGCAGATGTAGAGCCCTTCATGACCAAGGCCCACACGGGGGATCAGCAGAGTCCCACTATCCTCGGACACCACCACACCATCCCACTCGCCCAGTGGAAGCCCATCCTTCAGCCACCTGCGAGGAAGGGGACAGGCAGCAAGTCCTCAGTCTCTCCTGCCACCACCCACCCCTGGTTTCTGCCCACCAAAGGAGTGAAGAATGGGGTGCTGGCAGCCAGGACTGTCCGCTTGTCACCTCAAAACAGGCTGGCAGTGCCCAGATTGTTGGGCAGAGGAGGATCCCAGAGGCAAGGAGCGGGAATGGATGCTTTCCATTCCAAGTAACACCCCAAGCTGGAGGTCTCCATCCCCATCCTGATCCCTTCCGCCCCTTTGCGTGCTGGGCTGCAGAGCACCCCCCAGGAGTTACACAGCCCCTAAGGGAGCTCAGGCGAACATGGGAAGGATCCTCCTCACTCTGCTCTGCAGTACTCACTGGATCTGGGGTGCGGGGATGCCCGTGGCATGGCAGTGAATCCTCAGGGAGTCATTGGTGACAGCCGTCAGGTGGCTTTCCCCATCACCGATCAGTAGCTGGGGAGGAGCTAGGGGGAAAGAGGAGCTCAGGCTGGGACCACCCTCAGACCCTGGCACAGGGACATGGGAGCAGCCAAGGGCTTAGAGTGGTGGTACACTAAGACCCGTGGCCCACGGGAGGAGCATTTTAAACAGTGGACGTGAACCTTGGACGTGCAGGCTGTAGCTGAGCGAGGCGTTCCCTGCGGTGTTCGTGGCCGTGCAGGTGTAGATGCCGGTGTCTGTCACCTGGGGCTTGGCCAGCTGTAGAGACCCCGAAGGGAGGATGCTGTACCTTGGAGGAGAGGTAACAGAAGGGCTAGATGGCAGGAACAGCCATGTCCTCCATCAGCCACCCCTAGGCAGAAGCTAGGGGCTGAGAGCTCATCATCACGTTGAGACAGCCAAGAGAATGTCCCCAGGACCACCTCCTGCACAAGGAGGGCAGCAGAGCTGTCCATGGCTGCAAAATCCCTTTGCTCAGCTCCTGCGTGAGCTCAGCGTGAGGCAGCAGTGCAAGCCACCCACCCGGGAGGACGAGGGGAGACAGGGCTCCCTGCGGAGCGTGGCCCCTGCAGCTGGAGCTGGCCACGCTCTCTCTCCCAGCACTGTTTGTGCTCCACAGACATAACATCATCTCAGCCCACAGCTGCAGATTCCTCCTTGTGTGCTCCCATAAATCACCCGGGCACACGAGGGCAAGCCAGCTGAGATGTGGGGAGCAGCACAGGTCAACCGGGAGCAGCCATGGGAAAGCGGACAAGGACAACAAGGCAACACAGTCCCTCAAGAAGAGCAAAACCAAGATGCTTTCCTGCTTCCCCAGGCCACAGCAATCCTCAGGTGCAGGGAAAGAAGAGATTAACCCCAAGATTGGGGCCCATGATTTTAAGGAGCCCCTTCCAGCGTGGTGTTACTGTACTGAGAAAGCATGTCCTGCTTCCAAGGTGAAAGACCAAGACATTCAATAAACACATATCCAACCACTCTCCAGGTTATTTGCTCCCATCAAATCAGATTAAATGGGTGTCCCATGGCTGCCATCAGTCTCAACACCATCAGCAAGCGAATTTGGCCCTCAGAAGTCACCCACTGGAACAGAACTGGCCTTTAAACCCACGTCCCAGTGCAGACAAAGCCACTGCCAGGCTCACAGCCATGTTTCTGCCAAACCTTGGCCCAGGAGTATTTCGATGCCTAAAGCCCATGAAGTCACCCCAACACACAGGCTGTGAGGGGCACTGGAGGATGACGCACACCAAGTCTCCCTGGCTGCTGTCCTTTCCATGCTGCCTTCCTACTCCTCCAGACCTCAAAACTCCTCCTCCTCAATGCCCTGCAGCCACCTGGGTGCTGAGCAGCGTCAAGCCCCAGTCCAACACCCCCCACAGGGATCTGCCATCCCCAGGCATGTCCTTGGCCTCGCTGCCTCCGGCATCATGACAGCACGAGGCAGGAATGTGCATGAAGATGGATGGGCGAGCAAAGCCAGGGAGCTGTGCTGGAGCCGCCTTCCCTTCCCAACCCCAACCTGCATCCAGGGTGAATGTACAAAACGTTGGGGGCAGCAGATGTTTGTACAATGGAAAAAAAAAGTCTGGTGATTCTTGCTTTGCTCTCTTTGAAGAGCAGCACTAATGTTCTACCGCTTGGCTGCCTCTGCTCCTGCTAGAGCATTGAGCAACGGCTGCTCAGCACCAGGGATGCCCTTCATATCTCCCCACTGCTACCACCCTTCATGGATCCAACATCCCTCCAGGAAGACACACGAGACCAAGAGAGCATGGCCCCGGCACCCACAGCCCTCCTTACCTCGCAGCAGCAAGAGGCAGCGGCTGGGACTCCTGGGTCCACACCACCAAGGGAGGGGGATAGCCTTGAACCTCGCAGGGCAGGGTGGTCTCCTGCCCAAGCACAGCCAGGATGGTTACGGGGTCCGACGCCTGCGATCCGTTCACGCTGATCCTGGGTTTTGCTGGGTGGAGAGGGAGCACAGGTAGCGCAGGAACAATTCAGGTGCCCCACAGCCCTCATTGCTGCTCTTCCCATCCCACAAACCTATCTGGCACCTGCCTAGGTGTCCCAAGGAAGCTAGGAGAGTCCCCAGGTCATGCTCTCCTAGCCAGTCACCCTCTGCTTGGGTGTGTCTGGTGTCAAGGCCAGTCCCAGGCACTCACTGCTGACGGAGAGCTGCATCTCCCGGCTGGAGAAGCCTGCTGCATTGGTAGCTGTGCAAAAGTAGGTCCCAGCATCGCCGGGGGAGGGTGAAGGGATCAGGAGGGTCCCATCAGGGTTGACATGGTAGCGTGGGCTCAGCGAAATGGGCTCTGTGCCCTGCAGAGGTAAGAGAACAGAGGAAGAAAGACAGCAGAGGCTCTCCCATGAGCTGAGCATCCCAAGGGAAGGAAGAGGGCTCTGGATCCACCAGAGCAAGCTACCTCCCGGTCTCAGCTTCCCAGGGCACTTGGTGCCACCTCTCTGGGTAGTCACAGCCACACTGGTGAGATATGTCCCCTCCAAAACACGCTACCCTGCACCCAAGGATGACCCACAGCCTGTCTGTCCCTGTCACCTACCTTTGCCCAGGTGACTGTAGGAGGGGGCACACCTGTGGCATTGCACTGCAGGGTGACAGCCACTCCCTCCGTGGCAGTGACAAGGACAGGGCCAAGCTCAATACTGGGAGGAACTGGGAAAGAAGAAAGGCACCTCATCCTGCATGGCCAGGGCCACAACCACCAAGGAGAGGGGCGCTTTGCTGCTTCAGACGTGCAGAGGGCACCTGCCCCCGTTCACCGCAGAGCGGGGACGCCCGCCACCCTGCCGCTCACCGTGGATGACCAGGGACACATCCTGCCGGTGCGAGCCGAGGGCATTGGTCACCTCACACGTGTACCTCCCCGCGTCCCCCTGCAACGCCTGGTCCACGTGCAGGCTCCCATCAGCCCGGATGGAGTAGCGGCCGCTTGGGGCTACCTGGGCGTGGGCAGAGAGCAGGACAGACAGGAGGGTCAAACATCACCGTATCGCTGCGCCTTTGGGGCTCATCTAGAAACCGATCCTTGAGCAGTAAGAACATCCTGATGTGGTGACAAACCCACATCACCCTCCCAGCCCAGATGCTCCCCTGGCATCTTCCACCAGCTGCTTTGGGCCCAGGAGGTTGGGGCACCCGTCCTGCAGCAAAGCCCCTGCCGCAGAGCCGTGGTCGCTGCTGCTCACCCACCCACCATCCCAGTGGGCACGGGAGCCTCACCGGCTGTCCGTCCTTCAGCCAGCGGCGGGCTGGGAGCGGCCTCCCGGCCAGGATCACACAGGGCAGCAGCACGGGCTGGCCTGGGAGCACACGGACCACAGGGGATGCAAGAGCTATTTCTGGGGCTGCTCGAAAGAGAGGAAAGGAAAACAACATTAACTGGAGATCAACTGGCCAGGAACGCTCAGAACAGATCTGGATCGCCTTTCTTCCAAGGTCCAGACCTCAGCTCGGCACAAGACATTCAGCTCTTCCAAGAATTTGGGGATATTCATCTACAATTTGGGTTCAAGCACACATCAGCGCATTAAGCCAAAGAAGCAGAAGGGTATTATCCAAACCCCGCGCTAGGGGAGGCGGGGGGGGGGGGGGGGG